TTGACCTTGAAATACTTATTCACACATGCTCCTACATTCTCCTACTTGTTAAGATCGATTGATAGGAGAATGTTGCAAAACCTCACTAACAAAATGCTTTTTTCTCTCTATTGCTGAATATCTTCTACTAAACACATATAAATACTGTATAATTTTGAATAATAAAAATTATTGTTATAGTGTCTGCGGGTTTGTGTGTCTGTCTGCCAGTAAAACTATGTGCATACTATTTATCTTTGCTTTGGGCAAAGTACGAACTCGGAGAGTGTGAAATACTTGTTGCAGAATTTGCTTAATACCGCTAAAATTTATTACCTTAAAAATGGCAACAGTTGGTAGCCACACACATAAAAATATACTTTTGATAAAAACCGCACGAATAACCCCTAAAAAAAAAAAAAAAAAAAAAAAAAGAAAAAAATAAAGAAACGAGCAGCTCTAAGCCAAAATATTTTTAAAGGCATCCTCAGCAACCAGCCCAAGGATGCTGATGCTGCAGAAGACATAAACAACAAGTTGCTGTTGTCGTCGTGCATAATACGTAGACGATGGTGATGCCTTCTATTTTATTTATTTATTTACGGTCAGACAAAATTATCAACAACAATGTTGCAATCAACATACATGCATTACAACAACAACAACAAGTAAAGGACAATAATATTCAAAAGCATAACAAGGACATGTATAAGTAATAAGGAAATGTTTTTCTTTTTTTTTTTTGTCTGCTTCTTCTTCCAAGCTTGCAATAATTTATAAAAACATATTTGGAAAAATTTTTGCAATTTTCTTAACCTTTTTCTTTATTCATAAGCAATAAGTAAACGAAATTATGTGTTTAAGGGATTATTTTACCGAAAACTTAAACAAGAACAAGAGAAAAAAAAAAAAAAAAGACATTTTAGTTTAACAACTTAATTTTATAAGAATTGAAAAACTAAAACTTTTGTTGTCCATAAAAAGTAAGAAGAAAAAAAGGAAGTCGTGACACTAAAAGGGATTTTTTGTTTTCGTTTTTGCTTTTTTTTTGTTTTTTTTCTATTTTTTCTGTCTTTTAACTTTATTCCGTATCAAGTAAACATTTTTTAGAACTTAGTCACGACTGTTAGGCCAGGCTTTGGCGTGCTTTCAGCCTTACTCTGCTGGCCTGGCTGGTATTTGGTATCCCGGCCGAACCATTAATAATTTTAATGGATACAAGCAACTTAAACAGGCGTTAAGTAGTTATAAACGACAAATACAGTGGGATCGCTTGGCGAAAAATTATAATCGAGATGCTTTTGCGATGTATTTTAAATAAATTTTTTTTTTTTTTTTTTGTGTAAGCAATCCATAGAACTAAAGCAGCAACAAAATACACACAGTCACGCCGACAAACTTTTGGTAGCCTGTGGTTTTTACAATGCAAATGCAGTTTTAGCTGAGCCTCGACTGCATCTGAGCTTAACTAAAGTACGCGTGATCCTATAAAAAAAAAAAAGAAGAAAACAAAAAAGTAAAACGAAAACGCGAGAAACATCAGCATGAATGAATGGCTGATGCGAAAAAGAAGTAAAGCGCAATAAAAATACAAACAAAAACAAACAAAAAAAGAAAAAAAGCAAGAAAAAAGCAAAAAAAAAAAAAAACGTGAAACCTTCGTGTACCAGAGATTAATAAATTGATGGCATCCATTGCACATAACGTGTAACTAATGGCTGTAATCAATTTTACTTTACATCTCAATCTAACAAAACCCGAACAAAAAACAAAACAGACGAAAGAAAACAACGTTCAGTATTCATGCTGCACATGGACACAGCATAATACGCACAATCACACAAAACGCTATCCTGAACGGCAGAAATAGTGAAAAAGAAATGAAGTGAAATATAAAATATAGTCAACAGTATATACGAGTGAGTGAGTATATATCGCATATGGCAGGAACTAGATATTGGAACTTCACTGTCATTGTGTTACATAATGTTTTATCGAATGCTGTGAAAGCGATCGATATTTGCTGCAAGCAAATATATCGTAACAAAACGCGTACGACTTTATTTGCTTCATTCAATTATTCTGAAAAAAGCAAGAGAAGAAGCAATGGTGGACAGACAGACTTAACAGGCTTTCAGTTGAGCCCATTTTTCCTAGACTTGATTTTCCCATCAGATGAATAGAACAACTACCGATCCTCACAATGTTAGCGCAGCTGAAGATATGCTTACCAGAGAGTAGGTCTTCAAAACTGAAGCTGGAAATATGTTTACCGGGGTAGAAGTCTTCAAAGTTGAAGCACGATGTGCAAACTAAGACCTGTCTTAACATAAGATACTTTTGCATGAGCAACTTCATCGTTATTATAGCTTCATTGGAAAGGTTAACCATTTCCCAAAGCGTTTACATTAATTATTTAATTTAGTTCGTCTTTAGCTAGAAGCATAGTCTTCTTCTTAATTTATTTTAACTCTAATTGCATGCACTTAGCCTTGGCTCTCCTCCTAAGCAAAGGTAGTAGTAGTATTCGAAAGGTAATAAAATTTATGAGCCTTTGCCAATCAATCAATGAAGGCGAAGCCTAAATAATATGAAATGAAAACACACCGTTCGCCTATCAAGATACCTGACATTTGGCACAACAAAAAAAAAAAAAAAAAAAATATTTGTGCCAAAATTTCTTAAGTAAGGGCAAAAAGAAAAGAAAGTCAATGTAAAAGTGAAATTTTAACACACATTAAAAGGATTCCTTGAAAAGCATTACATGCTTGAATTCCTGCCAAAGAAAAGGTTAATCCACCCGACAATAATGCTACGCATTTTGCGAGCATACACGAGATTACGACTGCATAGAGAACATAAGGGTTTAGTTTAAAGCAAGATATAGAGCATTTATATGTAGAGACAGAGGTCATTGGCAAGTCGAGGTGACTGCTTATACATAATGCTTTTGGCTGACAAAAGTAAACAAATTCTTTTGCAAATTTGGAGCGTAACTAACTCGCATTCAATCACTTATTCAGTTCCATTCAACGGAAACATGTAAAAGTTTCGCAAAGACATTATCATAAATTCCATAGTTTATATGAACTTCTGATCGGCCTAAGATCCGTATTCGTCTATTTGCCTTATATAATTTTCACAATTAAAACTTAAAAATAGTGACTTTTAACTCCGCATTCGCGTTGCGTGCAATTTTAGTAAAGACAATTTTCGCATAGCGAAGTTAATCCATTTCTTGTCTCCGACTCTGCCAGCCGGCTGAAACGGCTTGTAGTTCTATGAAATCTACAAGCATACAGCCCTCCTGAGGAAAGAGAAAGCAAAAGAGGACGAGGCACTTCACGCAAATTTATGATTGTTGCAAATGCCTTAAAATTCATCGCCTTTTTGATAGCAGATCTGTTCGCAAGACAACTATTCAAAAATGTTCGCTTCAAAGACTTTTAACTGCTTAGATATTTCTGCCTTTTATTCTAAAAGCCTTCATTGCTGGTTGAGAAGCGTTATTAGTAAGTTCAACGAACAATCATTAACCCATTGAAACCAGTGCATATTTATGGCGGCCATCTCCAGGAGAGAGTTTTATTTTTGCTTCATATTTACCACCTTTCATTTCCGATAGTCCTGGCTTTGGATTCTTTATTTTAGGGACTAAACTGGTATGCGATAGATTTTTCTGTGGTCGTAACTATAGCAAGAGATCCGTTGGTAAAGGCAAAAGGCTGCGGCCGTCTCCTCCCCATTGCTTTCCCTTTCTCCGCTTCTTTCTGACAGTGATCATGTTACGCGAAAAGGGACGTCACCTGACTGATTGCTCGTGTTAAAGGAATAAAAAAACCAAAGTTCGTGTTCACACACTTCTAAGGTACTTCTTAATCCAAATCAGTCTTATCTTGATGGACTTTCTTTGAACGATTCCATACCATTCCGTTCGACTCTATGCGTCAGTGGAGGATTTTCTTCCTCGTACGTGCTATTCTGCAAATTTAATTCCTTAGGTTATTTTCTTCTTGCAAACGGCGAAACGTGACTCCGAAGAATCAAGGTCTGCCGTTGATTATTTTGACGAAGTCCAGTATATTGAGAAATAAGCAAGTTGCCAGGTCGAATACTTTAAAAGCTGCGTTCGTAGTGCGTTCACTTTTAAAAATATATTTCATTTTTCTTAATAATGAATGATCACATCGTCACACTTGAAGGTTCATGGCTCTGCTATTGATCATTGTTTTGTTACGGTAATGCCGGTTAATGAAAACATGACAAATTTGTACGAACTCAGTGAGGTCGTATGAAACCACGACCAGTCTGAGTATTCTGTTTCCAACGTAGATTCAAGAGCTTAGATTCTCAAATTGCTTGCACGTCACGGATCGAACTAAAATTTGGTTCGAAGTTGTATGTTTGTTGGGTGTTTTCCATTACTGTCATATAACAATTGAACCAAATCAGATTCGAAGAGTGAACAGGAAAGCAAGTGCAGCGCTGAAAGCAACGAATGAATTCGCAACATACATCATGCATACATCATGTATTAAAAATAAGTGTTTCTCATAAGGCGCGATACAAATGCATTCGTTGTGCTCGACGCTTAAGACTTTTATATATCTATGTATAGAATATTTTGTTCCTCAAAACGATTGAACGTAAAAAAAAATCGTCTTCCAACTTCCCTTATGTGAAGGACATCTACTGACAGATTATCGGAATATCTTTATGATTTCTTGTTGATAATATCCTGCTGAAGATTTGCTTTCAAAAAAGAAAACCATCCAATTGGAATTTTGATAGGTCGTAGATAAGAAACTAAAATTTTAAATCTAATTACAATAGCAATACCAAGCATTCTCAATAATTGAAAAGTAAAAAGAAAACCAATAAAAAAAATAATAAATATATTTAAAAATAAAAAGTATAAAAAAGAAATTATTCGAATACAATCAAACAACTACGTTTACTGGATAAGAGTTAGGAGAAAAAAATTCCACTTTATACGTTTCGTGGAATTGTCGATCACTTTCCTTGACACTTACCAAACTGACTTCGCATCCAAGGATATAGAGGCGAAGGCATCCCTGATGATTGTGAATTTGGATTTTGTGACGGTGGTGTATGCTGTCCCGGATGTCCTTGATGCATTTGCGGTGGTCCCTGGCCTTGATGCATCATACCTTGAGGCGGACCGCCCGCTACGCCCGCCTGCTGTTGCCCGTACATACCCATATTATGATGATTTTGATGAACCTAACATAAATGAAATGCAAATCAATTACAAAATTTTAATTACAATAATTTATGAAAAAAAAAAAAAAAAAACAATAATTTTTGAAAGAAACGTAATGAATACTATTTGCAAATAACATACATACATATAATATAAAAACGGAAAATTGTTATTATTTAATTTTCTTTTCATTTGCTTTTTCGATTCTTACCTCCGTAACATCGGGAACTCCGACATCATTGTAACCCAACTATAAAAATAAAGGCAAATAAGATCGGGTATTGAGAATGCATGGATTGATGAAAAAATAATAATAAAATCTAAGCACAGACAATTTACCCGATCTGATTAAGAACTATTTATAAACTTGTATAAAGTCGAGCTTCATATATCGTAAAAGGACTTATCTAAAGCTTCCGCTATGCTACGAAATACTTTCGCGCAATTTGGCTACTTATTGATAGATTTGCCTTTGAATTCTGCCATGAAACGTGACAGACAATGTAGATGATGTAACAAAAGTTCAAAGAATAAATATTCTGTCGAGCTCCCAAGAAAAAGTCAAGACCCTTTTTTCTCCATAGCCTACAGATTGGTCTGTACTTTTTTTCTAAAAACGGATTTATTTTACGATGGCGAGGATTTTAGTGATTTCACAGAAGAAATGGAAAAGTATTAACAAACGGATTTTTCTTCGCCTGTAAACATATTGGGTTGTTTGGAAAGTAATTTCGCTTCTTCCTTTCTTTAAAATGGAAATGAAAGGCGTTAGGTTTTCACGTGATCGTGAACGGTTGGATTCGATAAATTTAATCTCGTCCGCCACTTCGTATCGAGAATGTGCAGCTTCGACATCAACATTTTCCACAACAAAATTTTGTAAACCAGTCTTGATCCTAACGCTCTGTCAATACAATTTTTTCCTTCACGTTCACTAAATTTTTTCTTCCTTGGGCAGGATTTTATCCCGTTTAATAATAAAAAAAGCAAGGATTTGCTAGTTGTTTTGCTGGTTGTCAAAATATTCTTCGCAAACAAACCCTGTTTCGTCAGTTGTCAAAATAATGCTATGCGGCGTAATTGTGAACTTGACTATGAAAAAATACAATCAGTCCTAGGTTGGAAAAAAAAGCTAAATAACTAATATTTGTTTATATAAAAATCAAACTCAAAAGGATTTGACAGCCACCAGTTTCCAATGCTGCCAAACTGAGCCTTAATTTGACTTAAGAAAAAAGAGATAAACTCATGCATTTCCTGGCGATTTCATGAGAATTATGATTTTGTGGCGATTACTCTTTTTTATACGACGTAAGCCATGATTGCCTTTGAAACCATGGAAATTAGCCTGAGTGCAAGCTCATTGTAGCTCTTGATTTCCCCAATTGACCTTTTAAGGGCTTATAAAGCGTTACTTTGACAGAAACGGGCCATGGAAACCTTTGTTTATTCCGTTTTCATGGAGCGATCTTTGCATAAAACTCGGAAAGATCATTGATCGAATGACACATTAATTGCCCCTAATTGATGTAGAATTTGTTTAAAGCTTCGCTTAGACATTGCTTGGACTATCCGGGTCTAGAACCTCAAAGGCAAGGAGTGTCTTTACAGTTTATACTTTTGACATGAGTACAATGTCATAATAATTTCAATCCCTTCTAAAATCAGCCACTTTCGGTAGACGATTAGGTTAAGAAACACATTCTTGTGTTTATTTTCTAAAACATGTCAATTCTGCTTGAAGGGCCCTTTGTGATCTATCGAAGATAGCAATGAGTAAAACAAAATAACCTCACAGCTGCAATGTGATGCCAAACAACTGATTGCAAGGTTGCTTTGTGCAATTGTACCTAAGTGCCGCATAGAACCAAATTGCCCCTCATTCGAGTTGCACTGTATCTGATATAGAGAACACATTCGAGCATGCAAATCGTGTACAAACTAAACAATTTTGGAGATGATGGACAAACAAAAATTTAAAGTGCCATGTGTCCGACATATAAAACAAGTCGTACAACTGCAATGATCTCTCCTTACCAATAGCTCAATTTTGTGTAAAGCGATTGCAATTTCTGCTAGAGTAAGCAAGAGTGTAACTAATCAATATGTAAACAGTAGAGAATAAGGAAGACTAAATTCAGTGTAAAAAAGGCAGAGAAATTTAAGGAAACAGTGCCACCCAAGGATGAGGAACATATTGATTTTGTCCAAAAGTTTACAACGTCCAGAAGGAAGCTTCAGAGAACCCAAAAGTATCTACTTGACTAACAACAAATTCTGATATTGAATCGATTTGAGCATGTTCGTCCGGTCATCTGCCCTTGTAATGTCTCTTGTATACACTCTCCTGGCCGGAAGTCATCGACTTCAAATTTGTTGGTTAGTACTGCAAAACGGGGCAAATCGGTTGAAAGACACGCCTGCTGTATTCCACAAAATAAGATCAAATCTGTTTTTGGCCTTTTGGTCATTACTCATTACCTAGAGCAGAGAGATCTACAAAACTCCAATGTATGTTCTGTGGATGATGCTGTAGTCTCCTGTACAAATATGGGAAAAATTGACCGCGCCTAACTAACATCAAAGCAGCAAGGATTAATTTCCTTTTTAATTCCTCTATGACATGCAGAAGAAAGCTTCAAGCAGCCGTCACAAAGTATATAAATTCTTGGGCGGTTTCAAATTCTCAATACGCCTAAGCATGTCCGTCCGTATGTCCGCCGATTTATTCGTTTGCCTGACAGTGTAGTGTCTGTGATAAGCGTTCTCCCGTTCGCAAAAATGAAGATATCGCCTGAAAATGTGCAAAAAAATTTGCAAAGGACACGCTTACAAGGCCCATAATCCTATGCAAGAAAAACTGTGAACACCTTTGCTTTCCCTCTTTTTCCTTGTTATTTGTAACGTGCAGCACATGTACCTGCACATACACATATAAATTTCCGCCTTTATTCCTCCTAAATACAGAAAAAATCAGCCGCACTCACTCGATGGAATGGTGGTGGGTGTAGAAAATTCGGTCCCATCTTCTTTATTGTTTCAGAGTAATGACCAGTTACGATCAATTTGGTATAGCAGTTTTGGCGTAAAATTTACATTTGTCTCCGTCTTAGGACAAAAAAGCGCTTTCCTAGTTAATTACGGACTACGATTACATGACTACGATTAAAGGAAGTAACGCAACAAAAAGTGAGGGCGCTATAGCCAAGAAATGCGAGAAGAAATGATCCTAAAGCAAAGCGCACTGCAAAAATTAAAAAAGTGATAAGTGAAAGGCAATAAACGCTGCTGCAAAGCAGGACTTTTTTCTATATTTTAAAAGGCAAACTTTATGGTGTTTTTGATGATATTCTTCTATTGCTTCTACTAGTATACTAATTAACATTTCTACTATTAAATGTCGTTAAAATACTACACAAGTTAGAATTGAATTCGTTTTAGTGCATTCTGTGATCGATTTCTGAAAACTAGAAGCAACACTAAAATTCTACTTCAAAGCTGTTAATATCAAATGGTTTTAGTTTCAAATTTTTCTACATAACTCTCTTCGCTGTTTGATTACAAGTTCGAAAATTGAAAAATCGATACCCACCTGAGCCTGCGGATGTTGCATATGGTGTGACATTGACATTTGTGTGCCCATATGATGGCTGCCCATTTGATCGACTAGCGGCGGTGAACCACCCTCGGGCACCATACCTAACCCTCCAACGGCCGCTTGCAATTTGCAACTGGCATAAACAACCGGTTGTTGTTGCTGCTGTTGCTGTTGATGTTGTGGAAGTGTTGCGACTTGTTGTTGCGTTACTGAACCATGTTGTGCTTGGTGTGGCCCATTTTGAGGTTGTTGTTGTTGTTGTTGTTGTTGTTGTGGAGGAGGTTGAGTTTGTTGTTGCTGTTGCGCGACCATTTGACTACCGTTCGCTTGAACGGGCGGCATACCGCCAACTTGACTGGATGGACTGTCGGGTCGCGAATACACGCCATGCTGGTCCATACCTTGACCATTATAATAGGGCATACGATCGTAGGGCGGGAAACGTGGATAGGGCATATTGCCCTGATGATTTGGTGTCTGACTGTAATGATGCATTTGCTGGGCATCGAGATCGGTAACGCCATTGCCCGGATAATGACCATGGTGCATATCAGCACCTATATAGGAGTTGCTGAAGTATGATGTCATACTTTCACAATTATTTGTACTCATTGTCATCTTTATGAAATATCTACGTGTGTATTACGGTGATGTGTGTGGTTGTATGTGCTTATATTCTAGTGACTCTTTCTTTCTTTCTTTCTTTAATTTTTTTTTTTTTTTTTTATTCTTTTACTATAAACAAATGACTTTTCCTTTAATGTCTGTATGTAAAGGGAATTATTGTTATTTTTTTTTTTATTTGATCGGTTGTTTTTGTTTTTATTGTTGTTGCGATTGATTTTGAATAGAAAAACCTTTATAAAGATGCTTGAAGCTAAAGTTTATTTTTAAATAGAACTTATCTTTAATATATAAATAATGTGGGGTTGTATGTTGCGCCTGTCTGAGGGTGTATGCGTATATTTTATGTAAGTATGTGTTTTTGCGTATTTAAGTGTGTATATAGAAATGTATGTAAGTGTGTGTGTCTGTCTGTGTGTGGGTGCGTGCGCGTGTGTGTGTGTATGTGTTGCGTTTGTTATGTAACTCCGTAAAACCTGTAAGAAAAAAAATTTCATTAATTTAAAAGGTTACCTTTTCCCAAAAAAAAAAAAAGAGAAAAAAGGATAATCATTTCCTTTTAATATACGACTTACTTAGGGCTTTGAACACTTAAGTACAATTTACAAATTTATTTAATCCTTAGCTTAGCGTTTAAGTGTTGAGGTATAAAATTAGCTATCTCTCTTGGTGATCTCATGCAAGGCAAAAGTTTATGGTGTGCCTTTCTCTCTTCCTTCCTCTACTCTTGAATCGCTGATTGGTACAGAATCCAAAATAGAATGCGTTTTTTGTAAGTTGGATAAAAATATAGATTAGGAGCAAAAAATTCTTTACAAAAAATCCGTTGGCTTTTCCTTTCTATTTTTATTTTCTTTGCTTTGTTTTCTTGTTGTTTTGTTTCTTCTCTCCTCTCCGTTTTTCTTTTAGGTAAAAATAAATTCCAGGATTTTCTTAAGTGCTATTGTGTCCAATTTTAATATGAAACTCTGAAAGTGAAAGAAAGAAAAGGCAAAAAAATTGTTAAAAAAATTTATTTAGAATAATTTTTGTTTTTGTTGTAATGGCGTTTATTTAAAATATGGCCGTATAGGCGAACGCATAATGATAATCGCCTTGACCTGACCATCCTTCCGGTTAAATTCATTCAATTTCCTGCATACCTATCTTTCTCTTTCTCTCTCATTTTCATTCAATTCGTATTGCTATCTCTTTCAAATTGTTTAATACAATCTATAACTTTTGACCCAATAAATCATAAATTTCAACAATACAAGCAACAGCCTTAAACATGTGGATGGGATTTATATATATATATATATATATACATGTATATGAATTTAATGTATTTGTAATATGTTCAAATTCACATATGTATGCTCGCATTCATACATACATATACACTTATTGTAATTACATGACATGAATAGCAGATGCAGAGCATAATAGAATGGCATCAGGAATTATATATGTATTTATAAGCATATGTGCGTATGTGTTTTTATATAACTCATGCACGTACTCACGTAAGGATACGAATGTCGTAGAGGATGAGGAAATATCGAAAAAACCTAAAGGCAACTAGCCAGCCAGTCAACCTTGTCTTTAGGCCAATTGGATCCTTCTGTTCACCTTGATTTGTCTTTAAAAGCCTTTAAATACTTTCGATGACAGCAACAACTTCTCGGCTAACACATGTATGTAAATACAATTTAACATTTATTTAAACTTTAAAATAAAACACTTATTTTCGTCACCTTATGACCTGAGAAATCGAAAGATCTTTTTACCTGAGAAATGGAAAGAAAATCACTATACGACAGTAGCCTGAAATATCTAATTGCATAAGGGTTTTTAGGTCCAGTTCTAATGGTGCTTCTAGAACAGTTAACGCCTACCATTGTAATGTTTTAACTAAAGCCCACTTAATTAGAATGGAGTCGGAGCAGGTAAGAATAATGAAATTAAAAAAATGGAAATTTTGGATAAAAATTCTTTCTTACTTCACCTTTTCCTAAGATACTCATTCAGCTTAGTAAGATACTCATAGTGTTTAGTTTAGTTTAGTAGCTTAATAGTTCAGTTTTTAGTAGTTAGTAGTAAGCAAAAGATCAGTTTGGCTTTGACTTGAATCAAAATTTATTTAGTTTAGTGAGTATCTTTTTTCAATTTGTGCAAGTCAGGCGAATCAAAAAAGACCTCTTCAACGGCCGGCAAGATGAATGGACCGCTGTATGACCAAATTGTTGCAAAATAGCATTCCTTAGAATGTTTCTGATCAGATTTACGGATTAAAGTTAAAATAAAAAATTCAGAATAATCGGAGTTTTTTTCGATTGTGGATAAGAAAACCATATGCATCTACGGGTATACCCTGTGTGAATATCCATAGTGTGAAGCTAGCAAAATATTGCCTTTTCTGCCTTTGCATTTGTCCTTCTGTCCTCTCTTTTTTTTTTTTTTTTTGTAATATAATCAAAGTGTTAGGTCTACAAATCTTAGCTTATATCTTAAACCCTTACATCGGTCAATATCGAGTGTTACATACCCTACGCCACCAATTTACCTCACACCTCCACCACTCTACCTAACCACTTTACCTAACACCACCTTTCTTCACCTACTTTTATCATAGAATATCAAAAGTTACTTATTGTTACGTGCATGAGACTCTACCTGTGCGGCGTTGGGTGCAGAAAATAGATCTCTATAGTCCAACAATTGCTATAATAAACTTTATGTGAAGTCATTATTTTGTACTATTTTTACTTGTAAAAAACTAAAAGGTGAACCTGGCTGCCATATAAAGATTAGGTTTTTTTGTAAACATTTTTACATGGGAGTGTATTCAAAGTATGGTTCTATCCCATCCGAAGACTCCACATTCGTTTAATAAGATTGAATCGTATTTTTCACTGATATATGTCGAGAAATATGAAGTGAAAAACTGTTTCATAGCTATAGCGACTTTTGTAAGTTATGACTACTTTTGAGAAGTGGTCATTGTCCGGTGGATATCATTTTTGGTGACGTTCGTCCGGCATACCTTATGTTAAGAGAGTACATTGAAAATGTGCGGTCTATGGCTTATGGCTTCAGCACAAACCGACCTCAGATGGAAAGACGGACACTTATGCTTAAACCAATTCACAAAATGTAAATAGCAGTTGAAGTCGTAGCAGCAAAATATGTAAATTAAACTCGTCTCACAATTATTTCATTTACCGTACAAATTAGGTGAGATTTTAAATTAATTATCATGTTGTACTGATATAACAGCAACGAAAAGTGAAAGAAATACATAATGATTTCCATCTCCACAACGCAAAAATTTCATTCATTTGTTTACATCTTTCTGGAAAGGACAACAACCAACAAACAAAAAGCTGACAAAACCAAAGCTTCCGTTTCAATTATAAATACACAATGCTATGCGTAATCACGTAACAAAAAAAAAAAAAAAAAAAAACAACAGAAACGTTGGCATGAAAGACAGAACAATGAAAACCGGAAACAAATATGCGACAACAACGATGCGATGATGATGGTAGGCAATCGTACAAAACCACAAGAAATGTAAACATAGACAAGGTAATGCATAGTGAAATATATATGATTATGTGACGCGTCCCCTTCTATTCCGTCCTTTTACCCCTTACCGCCATCGCCTATCAAACATAAATAAATAATTGTTAGCCATAACCCAGACTCACGGTTGGCTTATGGTGCCCACAAACAAAACGAATGGATGCTGGATAACGTCTAGGCATTTATGAAGCCATATCGTCATTGGGACTCTCAGCTTTCTCTTCTATTTTAGAGTATACAAACATACCGATACAGTTTTTAAATGCTTTCGTAGGCAAAGATAGAATATTTTTAACATAAACACGTTAAACGTTAAAGTACACTGAAAGTAATTTCAAATAACATGAATAGGAAAAATGAAAGAAATAAGAAAACACTCTCATGCTCTATTTGAAGAGAATGCTCAGTTCTTTCAATAGCGTTCGTCCTTGGACCAAAACCAAAACACGCCGGTGCACCAAATTTCATCAAAATACCTCAAAAATTCCGACTTGAAAACTGAGGTGGAGAGCACAAGACAGACAGAGGGACGAACAAGCTTAAGTCGATTCAGAAAGTGATTATGAATAGATACAATAAGAAGGCGGTCTACCTCAAGCCCTGCTTGTTGTTGTTTACATCCGTACAAACTTAGCATACCCTTGTACAAGAAGTGATGTAGGGCATGATATGTTTCTTGTGCGTGCCTGACCGTACTCCGCCTTACACCTTATCTCTGAAGGCAAGCTAAGTGCATATGACTGCCCAGATGCGCCATTAATATCAAAGCTTAGTCATGCACAGTCAACCATGCTGTAACGCGGCTCGAATAAACCTGGATGGCACGTCAAATCCTAGTTTCTTAGAGCGCAGTCTTCGTAAAAAGCGATACAAATTTATCGCGTTACAAAAGAGCTGACCGTATGTAAAAAACCGTTTATCTCGAAATGTGGCATATCTTCACTTCGTCCGCTTATTTCAGCACAATATTTTTTGTTACCATAAAACTAATATTCTTTCCTCTGCCGTTAATAAGTGTAATAAAAACTTCTTCACTTCAAGATATCGATTAAAAGAGAAAAGTGTTTTTGTATAGAATTTGTTTTCAGTGCATTCAGATATATTTTGATTTTTAATAAAGCGTATACACATGACAGATTTTATGCATGGATATGCGAAGGTTTCGAGTTTCCAAAGAAATGAAACCTAGTCATGCTTAAGCGAACTGATAATAATGTCTAGCTTAACTCTGTTTAAAGTAAATTGTTGAAATAATGTTCTCGATAAAATTTGTTAGTTGCTGAAACTTTTAAGCTAACATTTTAAATACCAATTCTCATATTCGCATACATACATGCATACGTTGGCACATACAGGAATGAAAAAAAGGAAAGTTTTGCTTAGTTTGTGCGAGTTGTTAGCCGCCCAATTTCTCGTATAAACATAACAAATATCAACCATTAACGATAGAATTATTTCTACCATTTTTAGTAGTACGATAGTCAAATATGATATGTAACAAAGTTGTCCGATAAAATGAATTCTTAATTAGTTTTCCCTTCGACAAACGTACGACTTGTTTCTGAAATTCGAAAAATCGCAAAAATAGATATAGAAAGATGGAATTTTACCTATCTATTCTAGGCGACTTAAAAATATTTTAATTCATTAAAAATGTTAAAATTAAAGTTAACCAAATTCTTGTTAACAAAGACTTCTTGTAAATACGATACAAACGTCATACGATGAAACGTCGTAAAACGACATACAGATGTATGACGGCTGCTGACGAATCCATATCATTTTTGGATAGTGCCAAACTTCAAAAGGAATATTAGAAAATTTCATGACACCCGGACCATTGCTTTATAAATTATAGTTGATCTAACGAAGCTGTTTTGTTTTTGTGTTTGAAAGTAAAAATTTTAACAGCGCGTTACATAAAATTTCTGTTCTTCAATGATTGCTTAAAATAGTATTAAAAACAATTTATGAGAAAATTTATTGCCTACTTTCAGGCTTTTATATAAAAATCTATATTATTTGAAATGCGCCATCTGTTGCTTGAATTTCGAAGTTGTCAATCAAGTTTTCACTGTATATTTTTTTGGTTATTGTCTCGGTTACGATTTCAATTCTACAACTTATCTGCAGATGTCTCCATACTGTCAAAGGGCGATATAAAAATTATTTCGAAAAGAAACAAACATTTATCTTTAATTCTTTTGTTGCTCGCATAAAAGATGAAATAATCCGATAGAGCAACTAATGTTGGAAATATTAGATAACTTTAAAAAAGATTCACATCTTCTTAAGATAAAAATTAATTTATTTAACGCTTACTCGACCGATTGTAAATCAAAATAAATTATTTAATTGATATTATAAAAAAATGCATGAAGCAAATGCATCGAAATGTAAG